CGGCAGGCAGGTACAGCTGCCCACAGCAGCCAGCTGCACCTGCGATACACAGCTGCCTACAGCAGCCAGCTGCACCTGCGATACACAGCTGCCTACAGCAGCCAGCTGCACCTGCGATACACAGCTGCCTACAGCAGCCAGCTGCACCTGCGATACACAGCTGCCTACAGCAGCCAGCTGCACCTGCGATACACAGCTGCCTACAGCAGCCAGCTGCACCTGCGATACACAGCTGCCCACAGCGGCCAGCTGCACCTGCGATACACAGCTGCCCACAGCAGCCAGCTGCACCTGCGATACACAGCTGCCCACAGCGGCCAGCTGCACCTGCGATACACAGCTGCCCACAGCAGCCAGCTGCACCTGCGATACACAGCTGCCCACAGCAGCCAGCTGCACCTGCGATACACAGCTGCCCACGGCAGCTGCGAGACAGCCGCGCGCAACAGTTAAGAAGAACTGCCGCCCCACAACAGTCGGGGAAAACAGCTACAACAGCCCTCTACAACACCACACCACAACAGCCCTCTACAACACCACACCACAACAGCCCTCTACAACACCACACCACAACAGCCCTCTACAACACCACACCACAACAGCCCTCTACAACACCACACCACAACAGCCCTCTACAACACCACACCACAACAGCCCTCTACAACACCACACCACAACAGCCCTCTACAACACCACACCACAACAGCCCTCTACAACACCACACCACAACAGCCCTCTACAACACCACACCACAACAGCCCTCTACAACACCACACCACAACAGCCCTCTACAACACCACACCACAACAGCCCTCTACAACACCACACCACAACAGCCCTCTACAACACCACACCACAACAGCCCTCTACAACACCACACCACAACAGCCCTCTACAACACCACACCACAACAGCCCTCTACAACACCACACCACAACAGCCCTCTACAACACCACACCACAACAGCCCTCTACAACACCACACCACAACAGCCCTCTACAACACCACACCACAACAGCCCTCTACAACACCACACCACAACAGCCCTCTACAACACCACACCACAACAGCCCTCTACAACACCACACCACAACAGCCCTCTACAACACCACACCACAACAGCCCTCTACAACACCACACCACAACAGCCCTCTACAACACCACACCACAACAGCCCTCTACAACACCACACCACAACAGCCCTCTACAACACCACACCACAACAGCCCTCTACAACACCACACCACAACAGCCCTCTACAACACCACACCACAACAGCCCTCTACAACACCACACCACAACAGCAGAGAACGGGAATCAAAAGAGAGGAAAACAAAAGCGAGAGTTACTGACAACAACAACAACAACGGTGTAATCAACAGAGCACAACAGCCGGTCACTGTTGTGGTCAGTGACCAGTTGTGGCCAGCTGGTCACAGACCACAACAGCTGGCCACAGACCACAACAGCTGGCCACAGACCACAACAGCTGGCCACAGACCACAACAGCTGGCCACAGACCACAACAGCTGGCCACAGACCACAACAGCTGGTCACAGACCACAACAGCTGGTCACAGACCACAACAGCTGGCCACAGACCACAACAGCTGGCCACATACCACAACAGCTGGTCACAGACCACAACAGCTGGCCACAGACCACAACAGCTGGTCACAGACCACAACAGCTGGCCACAGACCACAACAGCTGGCTATACAAAAGCCCACAACAAAAATCTTGTTTTTCCTGTACTTCAAAAGAACGGCAACATATTTATTTTCACCGTTTTTTATTTGTTTATTAATTTGTTTATTTTATTTATTTCGTGAAAATTGGTGCAATCCGAGTTAAACAAACTTTATTAAAGGGAGTTGATCGTGTGGTGAGAGCCCCCCCCCCCCCCCAGGTGACTGAGTTTGGAGGAATGTTATATATTGTTTAATATATATATATATATATATATATATATATATATATATATATATATATATATATATATATATAATATATATTCTATATATGTTCACTATATATGAACAGCCGCCTACAAAGAACGGGAGAAGGGGTACAGAGGCCTACAACAGCCGAGGATACAGTAGCCATAAGAGGCGAGGATACAGCAGCCCACAAGAGCCGAGGATACAGCAGCCCACAAAAGCCGAGGATACAGCAGCCACAAGAGCCGAGGATACAGCAAGAGCCGAGGATACAGCAAGAGCCGAGGATACAGCAGCCACAAGAGCCGAAGATACAGCAGCCACAAGAGCCGAGGATACATCAGCCCACAAGACCAGAGGATACAGCAGCCACAAGAGCCGAGGATACAGCAGCCACAAGAGCCGTGGATACAGCAGCCACAAGAGCCGAGGATACATCAGCCCACAAGACCAGAGGATACAGCAGCCTACAAGAGCCGAGGATACAGCAGCCACAAGAGCCGAAGATACAGCAGCCACAAGAGCCGAGGATACAGCAGCCACAAGAACCGAGGATACAACAGCCACAAGAGCCGAGGATACAGCAAGAGCCGAGGATACAGCAGCCCACAAGAGCCGAGGATACAGCAGCCCACAAGAGCCGAGGATACAGCAGCCACAAGAGCCGAGGATACAGCAGCCCACAAGAGCCGAGAATACAGCAGCCCACAAGAGCCGAGGATACAGCAGCCACAAGAGCCGAGAATACAGCAACCCACAAGAGCCGAGGATACAGCAGCCACAAGATCCGAGGATACAGCAACCCACAAGAGCCGAGGATACAGCAGCCACAAGAGCCGAGGATACAGCAGCCACAAGAGCCGAGGATACAGCAGCCACAAGAGCCGAGGATACAGCAGCCACAAGAGCCGAGGATACAGCAGCCACAAGAGCCGACGAAACAGCAGCCACAAGAGCCGAGGATACAACAGCCCACAAGAGCCGAGGATACAGCAGCCACAAGAGCAGAGGATGCAGCAAGAGCCGAGGATGCAGCAGCCCACAAGAGCCGAGGCTACAGCAGGCCACAAGAGCCGAGGATACAGCAGCCCACAAGAGCCGAGGCTACAGCAGCCACAAGAGCCGAGGCTACAGCAGGCCCACAAGAGCCGAGAATACAGCAGCTACAAGAGCCGAGGATACAGCAGCCACAAGAGCCGAGGATACACCAACCACAAGAGCCGAGGATACAGCAGCCACAAGAGCCGAGGATACAGCAGCCACAAGAGCCGAGGATACAACAGCCCACAAGAGCCGAGGATACAGCAGCCACAAGAGCAGAGGATACAGCAAGAGCCGAGGATGCAGCAGCCCACAAGAACCGAGGCTACAGCAGGCCACAAGAGCCGAGGATACAGCAGCCCACAAGAGCCGAGGCTACAGCAGCCACAAGAGCCGAGGCTACAGCAGGCCCACAAGAGCCGAGAATACAGCAGCCACAAGAGCCGAGGATACAGCAAGAGCCGAGGCTACAGCAGCCCACAAGAGCCGAGGATACAGCAGCCAAAAGAGCCGAGGATACAGCAGCCACAAGAGCCGAGGATACAGCAAGAGCCGAGGCTACAGCAGCCACAAGAGCCGAGGCTACAGCAGGCCACAAGAGCCGAGGATACAGCAGCTACAAGAGCCGAGGATACAGCAGCCACAAGAGCCGAGGATACAGCAAGAGCCGAGGATACAGCAACCACAAGAGCAGAGGATACAGCAAGAGCCGAGGATGCAGCAGCCCACAAGAGCCGAGGCTACAGCAGGCCACAAGAGCCGAGGATACAGCAGCCCACAAGAGCCGAGGCTACAGCAGCCACAAGAGCCGAGGCTACAGCAGGCCCACAAGAGCCGAGGATACAGCAGGCCACAAGAGCCGAGGATACAGCAGCCACAAGAGCCGAGGATACAGCAGCCACAAGAGCCGAGGATACAGCAGCCACAAGAGCCGAGGATACAGCAGCCACAAGAGCCGAGGATACAGCAAGAGCCGAGGACACAGCAGCCACAAGAGCCGAGGATACAGCAGCCACAAGAGCCGAGGATACAGCAGCCACAAGAGCCGAGGATACAGCAGCCACAAGAGCCGAGGATACAGCAAGAGCCGAGGCTACAGCAGCCCACAAGAGCCGAGAATACAGCAAGAGCCGAGGCTACAGCAGCCACAAGAGCCGAGGCTACAGCAGGCCACAAGAGCCGAGGATACAGCAGCTACAAGAGCCGAGGATACAGCAGCCCACAAGAGCCGAGGATACACCAGCCACAAGAGCCGAGGATACAGCCCACAAGAGCCGAGGCTACAGCAGGCCACAAGAGCCGAGGCTACAGCAGGCCACAAGAGCCGAGGATACAGCAGCCACAAGAACCGAGGATACAGCAAGAGCCGAGGCTACAGCAGCCCACAAGAGCCGAGGATACAGCAGCCAAAAGAGCCGAGGATACAGCAGCCACAAGAGCCGAGGATACAGCAAGAGCCGAGGCTACAGCAGCCACAAGAGCCGAGGCTACAGCAGGCCACAAGAGCCGAGGATACAGCAGCTACAAGAGCCGAGGATACAGCAAGAGCCGAGGATACAGCAGCCACAAGAGCCGGGGATACAGCAAGAGCCGAGGATACAGCAACCACAAGAACAGAGGATACAGCAAGAGCCGAGGATGCAGCAGCCCAGAAGAGCCGAGGCTACAGCAGGCCACAAGAGCCGAGGATACAGCAGCCCACAAGAGCCGAGGCTACAGCAGCCACAAGAGCCGAGGCTACAGCAGGCCCACAAGAGCCGAGGATACAGCAGGCCACAAGAGCCGAGGATACAGCAGCCACAAGAGCCGAGGATACAGCAGCCACAAGAGCCGAGGATACAGCAGCCACAAGAGCCGAGGATACAGCAAGAGCCGAGGACACAGCAGCCACAAGAGCCGAGGATACAGCAGCCACAAGAGCCGAGGATACAGCAGCCACAAGAGCCGAGGATACAGCAAGAGCCGAGGCTACAGCAGCCCACAAGAGCCGAGAATACAGCAAGAGCCGAGGCTACAGCAGCCACAAGAGCCGAGGCTACAGCAGGCCACAAGAGCCGAGGATACAGCAGCTACAAGAGCCGAGGATACAGCAGCCCACAAGAACCGAGGATACACCAGCCACAAGAGCCGAGGATACAGCCCACAAGAGCCGAGGCTACAGCAGGCCACAAGAGCCGAGGCTACAGCAGGCCACAAGAGCCGAGGATACAGCAGCCACAAGAACCGAGGATACAGCAAGAGCCGAGGCTACAGCAGCCACAAGAGCCGAAGCTACAGCAGGCCACAAGAACCGAGGATACAGCAGCCACAAGAACCGAGGATACAGCAGCCACAAGAACCGAGGATACAGCAAGAGCCGAGGCTACAGCAGCCACAAGAGCCGAGGATACACCAGCCCACAAGAGCCGAGGATACAGCAGCCCACAAAAGCCGAGGATACAGCAAGAGCCGAGGATGCAGCAAGAGCCGAGGCTACAGCAGCCCACAAGAGCTGAGGATACAGCAGCCACAAGAGCCGAGGATACAGCAGCCACAAGAGCCGAGGATACAGCAGGCCAGAAGAACCGAGGATACAGCAGCCACAAGAACCGAGGATATAGCAAGAGCCGAGGCTACAGCAGCCACAAGAGCCGAGGATACACCAGCCCACAAGAGCCCAGGATACAGTAGCCCACAAAAGCCGAGGATACAGCAAGAGCCGAGGATACAGCAGCCACAAGAGCCGAGGATACAGCAAGAGCCAAGGCTACAGCAGCCCACAAGAGCCGAGGATACAGCAGCCACAAGAGCCGAGGCTACAGCAGCCACAAGAGGCGAGGATACAGCAGCCCACAAGAGCCGAGGATACAGCAGGCCACAAGAGCCGAGGATACAGCAGCCACAAGAGCCGAGGATACAGCAAGAGCCGAGGATACAGCAGCCACAAGAGCCGAGGATACAGCAAGAACCGAGGACACAGCAGCCACAAGAGCCGAGGACACAGCAGCCACAAGAGCTGAGGATACAGCAAGAGCCGAGGATACAGCAGCCACAAGAGCCGAGGCTACAGCAGCCACAAGAGCCGAGGACACAGCAGCCCACAAGAGCCGAGGATACAGCAGCCACAAGAGCCGAGGCTACAGCAGGCCACAAGAGCCGACGATACAACAGCCACATGAACCGAGGATACAGCAAGAGCTGAGGCTACAGCAGCCAGAAGAGCCGAGGCTACAGCAGGCCACAAGAGCCGAGGCTACAGCAGCCCACAAGAGCCCTCCCAGCACCAAGAGTGGAGGCGCCCCCAAGCGGGCAGGGAGGGCAGGCAAGGGAAGAGGTCACCGCCAGGAGCCGCCCACGGGTCTCCGTCCACCTCTCCCGCCTCAGACTGGCTTTGCAGGAGTCACGCTGCATCAAAAACGTTTTCCAGCATCAGGGATAATCGGCGAGCGCTATCGTAGCTGGCAAACATTTCGCGGAAAATTGAGCGAATGGAAAACGTTGGGTGGCGAGGCGGGCTGGCTAGGGGCTGTAAGAACGTTTGGTTGCCGAGGGTACGATGATGTACGGCTCTCACCCCTGGAAACTGCCAACGCCTCAAGTCGATATTAACTTACATTAATTGGTTTTGAGGGGAAATAACATCAGTTGTGTTAAGCCGGTGACGAATATATTAATTACATCACTGAATTATTAATGATTCCCTAAGAGTCGCTTTAGCAGGAGTTTTTCCTCTTATAAATGCTATATCTTTTGTCACTAAGCCTAATGTTTAGAGTTGTACATCTTCTATTGAAGAAGATGTCCGCACAGTAAAGGTAACTGCATATGGAGCATCTCTTAAAGTAACACTACGTTATGAACACAAATACCCGTAATCAAGATTATTATAAATGCAGATAATTTAAACAGTCGTTGGCAACTATCTAGCCAGACTGGCAACTCCCAGGCCCCGCTGCCAGCGAAGGTTGATTCCGATCAATGTAAGTAGAAGGGAACCTTTGGCTTTGGCTTCGTGTATACACGCTGTATTTTTACACTCTCCTCACATTACTCTACCTACATTTATTTAAATAATATAACCATACGTAACGTAGAACCCTATATACATGTTGCTTATGAAAATGTACTTTAATAGCCTTGGATATTACAGAACGTTATTTTCTGGCTTCTATTTTTTTTACCTTTTTTTGCAACTTTTCCTGCCCTCGGCCACCGCGCGGCGAAGGATGCGGACGTGGGCGGGGAGCTGGAGGGGAGACTGGCGGGGGGGTCGCGGGGGGCGCTGGGGTGCTGGGGGGGTGCCCTGTGTGACCCGCCTCCTCCAACACCCCTCCGAGCCCAGCCCTCCGCGCACAATTCATTTACAACATTATGAAATATAATTGCAATAGGTAGCCTTATAGCCTCGTCCTACCTGAGGATCTAAGTACACCAGTGAAGGAGAAGGTGTATTATATCTAAGTGACAAGCCAGCACTCCCTTATTCCCCACAATTAACTCAAATTACACACCATGAATGTGTAATGGACAACAAAACAAAAAAAACGGCTCTGCCCAGTGGGATCCGGCTTACCTAACCCAACCTAACGTTCAGTAGGCAACATACGCACGTTATTATTATTATTATTTGTTACTCTTGTTCATTGTTCTTCTTATCCCTATAACGTAATATCCACGACGACGGCAAAATTCAGACCAGACAGTCCTTTGTATGAAGTCCCGGAGTTTCATCATCCCCCTTCTACCCGGCGTGTCACTGTACTTCGCTCGAAGACTCAACAAACGAAGGTTGAGAATTTTATATTATTTTATTCTCCTTTAGTTTTCCTTCATTATGAATTACGTATGTGCACTGCTATACCTGTTTTCTCTACATTATTCTAATAAACTTGTCTGCCAGATTTGGGTTCCTTCGTCTACCGAGTTCCTTGATGTTGTCTAAGAAAACTTTGCGATACAAGAGAGTAAAATCAACGAAAAGAAAAGAATCGAACGAAATTTTTTGAAGTGTTTTCGTGCGTCCGAATACCCCGCGAGGCGACTCAGTTCAAGTGGGACGATAGAACAAGGAAATAACTGCTAACCAGAGAAACGTACGGCGTCCCGCTTTGTCCGACCCCTGTGAGAGAAACGAGGAACGGGTTCGCTTTTGTCCGACCCATGAGCGTCCCCCTTTGTCCGACCCACCGACAACGTTATTGGATTTACTTCCTACAGCGCGGGTACATAAAACTTGTAATGGCTTGCGATCCCTCCAGAGGTGAATGTAACCCGGCCAAGGGATGCAGCCCCCTATGCGCCATGGATATAAGACTGACTATCGCATGTATTCCTGCTTTCCCTTGGCCCCATATCCGATACTAGCTTGAAAGGTGCGGAATCCTAATACTTAAGAAGACGTATATAAGAACTATTTTCCATTGCTGATGAAAGTTTACCGAGCTCGGAGCTGGTAGCGAAGTTTAGTCTGTGTGTAGAGAGTCATAGAGTTGAGAGTAGCATAAGGAGGTGCAGCGAAGGGCTCGCTCCAGCTGCGGTGTCGGCAGCAAGGCGACTGGAGCGCGCCAACAAATGCCAGCCCGACTCACTTGCCGCGCTTTTTATTCCAACTGCCAACATAGGACCCGCCAAGATTTTGGCGCGCACATGACGAGAGCTGGCCACCTCTGCACTGCCCATAACCACGTGCACTTGTTTACACCCAACGTTTCTCGACCATCTGCCTGGCAGCAGGACAAACGTTCGCGGTGGTCGCCTCGCTCCCGCAACCTTACTAATTCACACCACCATTTTTATGTTTTAATGCGTGGTCTCGTATGTAATTCTTTATATTACGGATTATTTGTAGACGAAAATAGTTAATGTTTTTATATGATTCGCATAAAACAATTATTAAAGATATTTTAATCTGAATATGTTGGAACCCGATGTTGCATTATACAATGTCAGACGACGGAATAATATACAAAAGTACTTAAGGAAATTCCTGTTTCAATTTTTCCTCCGTGTTTTGACATTGTCATATATATATATATATATATATATATATATATATATATATATATATATATATATATATATATATATATATATATATGTGTGTGTGTGTGTGTGTGTGTGTGTGTGTGTGTGTGTGTGTATGTGTGCGAACAAGCCTGAACGGTCTCCAGGCACATATGCAACTGAAAACTCACACCCCAGAAGTGACTCGAACCCTTACTGCCAGAAGCACTCTGCAACTGATGGACAGGATCCCTTAACCACTTGACCATCACGACCGGACAAAAGATTTGTCCGGTCTTTCAGTTTTCAGTTGCATATATGCCTGGAGACCATTCAGGCTTGTTCACATTTGTGTTCCTCACGTGTGCCCCAAAGAATGAGGTGATTTGATAAAATACCATGCCCAAGATTACCATCAGAGTGCCAGCGGGAGGATGGGGAGTTAGCCTCGGCTACCATCCTCTTTTGTCCAGTCGTGATGGTCGAGTGGTTAAGGGACCCTGTACATTAGTTGCAGAGTGCTTCTGGCAGTATGGGTTCGAGTCACTTCTGGGGTGTGAGTTTTCAGTTATATATATATATATATATATATATATATATATATATATATATATATATATATATATATATATATATATAATGTTGCAGGGGCATCGCATTATGGGTAATATGATAATTATTATTAATGTCCCATAACATCGATGGGGAATATGATTTAAATGGCTGGTATTCGTTTGATTTGTCGTTCATCGTGAAGAGTTATTGGTAATATTGTTGACATTAAGAGCCGTGTGTCGGTTGGTACAAAAATCCTGGTGATAGATGCATCGTCCACACATGTAAATACGTACACGTGACAATATGTATTGTGATTGGGGGTAGGGGGGCTGGTTATGTGTATTTGTGCTTGCAGGATCTGACTGTTAGCTCTTGGATCCCGCCTTCTCAATCGTTGGTTGTCTAATGTGCTGGGGAGGGGCGTGTGCATGTGTGCCGGGTAGGGGCATGTGTGTGGCGGGGATGGGCGTGTACATGTGTGTGGTAGGGAGGGGCGTGCATGTATGCATGCAGATAAGCAAGCACAGGTATGTGTGTTGCATGACACTAAACTGTGAGGTTATATCCAAGGACACTGTGTACCCCTCTACCTCCAGCCTCTCTCTCTCTCTCTCTCTCTCTCTCAGACACCATACACTATATTCATACACCATACACTATACTCAGACACACTATACTGATGCAACCCTGTGTTAGAGGCAGGGCGGAATACAGTGGTGTGCGCGGAAGTGGGATGGGAATGGTTTGGTGTTGGGGCCCCTGAGTGGGAGGTGGTGAGGCGCTGAGGCCTCGAGTGGGAGGTGGTGAGGCGCTGAGGCCTTGAGGGGGAGGTGGTGAGGCGCTGAGGCCTTGAGGGGGAGGTGGTGAGGCGCTGAGGCCTCGAGGGGGAGGTGGTGAGGCGCTGAGGCCTCGAGGGGGAGGTGGTACTGGAGCCTTTAGGGTGAGGTTGTCTGGTGCTGAAGGGTTATGGTATCGACACCGTTGCTGGAGTGTGGAATGGCGATTGCGGCGCCATCTATGGACCTGCCCTCCAACTATTAGAAGAGATGCAAACAACGCCATCTGTTGGAGGTGGTGTGGCGTCAGTGGAAGGCTCCTGTTTCATATCTCAATTAGGAGGTGAGGTCGATGATGACTTCTGGCAGATGGCATAACGATATCAACGCCATCTAGGTTGTGCAAGCAAATATAATTTTAGTTCCCCCCGGTGGAAGGGTGTTATCCTAAGGTAACCCAGCATAATGTCTGTCTAGCTAATAATGACGTTTATGTTCACAGAAGTGACATGAGGAGGCGATTATGCTGAGGAGAGCAGTTCATCTTGGGCAGTCCAGAACTCTTGACTTGGTCCTGTGAGAGGACAAAGTGGCCGCCGTCGGTAGTAGCAGTGTGTTAGCTGCTGGATTTATGGAGTGTTGTATGGACCGACGTACCCGGATTTGGCCAAGAGAGGAGATAAGGTGTGCGGACTGGCCCATGTTGAAGGTGAACTCGCCTGTGATTGCCATTAAGTGGTGATTGCCATTGAGTGCGGACAACGTGTACCTGAACGTAGTGGACTTGCCGGGATTTGATGAACACTACCGATCTATTGAGTGTCCTGAGTGAAAGCAACACTGTAAATGTGTAGTAATACTTAGAGATATAATATATAAATATATATATGTGTATATATTATTTATATATTTTGGTGAAGGTGTAATTGCATATAGTTTATCCCCACTTTATTCTTTGCACTACTACTTGCCACAACCAGTTCTTGAAAACTTTTATCGACTTGGGGTAAAATCAAGAATAAGAGATTATAAAACACATTAACCGAAAGAACCCGGTTACTGGCCCAGGCTGGCCGTAACATGGAGCCTTGAGGGTGTGGTGTTTGTGCTGGAGCCTTGAGGGTGAGGTGTTTGTGCTGGAGCCTTGAGGGTGAGGTTGTCTGGTGCTGGAGCCTTGAGGGTGAGGTTGTCTGGTGCTGGAGCCTTGAGGTTGAGGTGTTTGTGCTGGAGCCTTGAGGGTGAGGTGTTTGTGCTGGAGCCTTGAGGGTGAGGTTGTCTGGTGCTGGAGCCTTGAGGTTGAGGTGTTTGTGCTGGAGCCTTGAGGGTAAGGTTGTCTGGAGCTGGAGCCTTGAGGGTGAGGTTGTCTGGTGCTGGAGCCTTGAGGGTGAGGTTGTCTGGTGCTGGAGCCTTGAGGGTGAGGTTGTCTGGTGCTGGAGCCTTGAGGGTGAGGTGTTTGTGCTGGAGCCTTCAGGGTGAGGTTGTCTGGTGCTGGAGCCTTGAGGGTGAGGTTGTCTGGTGCTGGAGCCTTGAGGGTGAGGTTGTCTGGTGCTGGAGCCTTGAGGTTGAGGTGTTTGTGCTGGAGCCTTGAGGGTGAGGTTGTCTGGTGCTGGAGCCTTGAGGGTGAGGTGTTTGTGCTGGAGCCTTGAGGGTGAGGTTGTCTGGAGCTGGAGCCTTGAGGGTGAGGTTGTCTGGTGCTGGAGCCTTGAGGGTGAGGTTGTGTGGTGCTGGAGCCTTGAGGGTGAGGTGTTTGTGCTGGAGCCTTGAGGGTGAGGTTGTCTGGAGCTGGAGCCTTGAGGGTGAGGTTGTCTGGTGCTGGAGCCTTGAGGGTGAGGTTGTCTGGTGCTGGAGCCTTGAGGTTGAGGTGTTTGTGCTGGAGCCTTGAGGGTGAGGTTGTCTGGAGCTGGAGCCTTGAGGGTGAGGTTGTCTGGTGCTGGAGCCTTGAGGGTGAGGTGTTTGTGCTGGAGCCTTGAGGGTGAGGTTGTCTGGTGCTGGAGCCTTGAGGGTGAGGTTGTCTGGTGCTGGAGCCTTGAGGGTGAGGTTGTGTGGTGCTGGAGCCTTGAGGGTGAGGTGTTTGTGCTGGAGCCTTGAGGGTGAGGTTGTCTGGAGCTGGAGCCTTGAGGGTGAGGTTGTCTGGTGCTGGAGCCTTGAGGGTGAGGTTGTCTGGTGCTGGAGCCTTGAGGGTGAGGTTGTCTGGTGCTGGAGCCTTGAGGGTGAGGTTGTCTGGTGCTGGAGCCTTGAGGGTGAGGTTGTCTGGTGCTGGAGCCTTGAGGGTGAGGTGTTTGTGCTGGAGCCTTGAGGGTGAGGTTGTGTGGTGCTGGAGCCTTGAGGGTGAGGTGTTTGTGCTGGAGCCTTGAGGGTGAGGTTGTCTGGAGCTGGAGCCTTGAGGGTGAGGTTGTCTGGTGCTGGAGCCTTGAGGGTGAGGTTGTCTGGTGCTGGAGCCTTGAGGGTGAGGTTGTCTGGTGCTGGAGCCTTGAGGGTGAGGTGTTTGTGCTGGAGCCTTGAGGGTGAGGTTGTCTGGTGCTGGAGCCTTGAGGGTGAGGTTGTCTGGTGCTGGAGCCTTGAGGGTGAGGTTGTCTGGTGCTGGAGCCTTGAGGGTGAGGTTGTCTGGTGCTGGAGCCTTGAGGGTGAGGTTGTCTGGTGCTGGAGCCTTGAGGGTGAGGTTGTCTGGTGCTGGAGCCTTGAGGGTGAGGTTGTCTGGTGCTGGAGCCTTGAGGGTGAGGTTGTCTGGAGCTGGAGCCTTGAGGGTGAGGTTGTCTGGTGCTGGAGCCTTGAGGGTGAGGTTGTCTGGTGCTGGAGCCTTGAGGGTGAGGCTTTATGCATGTCTTTGGTGTTACACACTCCCAGGAATATTTCCCTTTTTTGACTCTTCATAATCATCTTCTGGTCTCCTCTTCTCTCCCTTTTCTCAAACATTATTAATTCATATTTTTAGGGATTAACTACAGTAGCTATTTGTTCAGCCATTCCTACTATGTCTAAATCATTTTACAGTATTATGTAGACATTTTTTCATCCTTACTCTTTTCATTAGCTAAGCATCATCCGTAAACATTGTCATGTAAATCCTACCTTCTCTGGAAGGTCATTTACACAACTCGGGAACAGTAGTGGTCCAAGAACTGAACTTGTGGGACCCCACTTCCCACTTCCCTCCTTCCTGTCTCTCCTCTCTCATCATCCTCTGTTCTTTATTTGTCAAATACTCCTTAATCCGGTCCAGTGTCTTCCTAGTTACCTCGGTCTGCTTCGTCCAACTTGAGGATGAATCGTTTGTGCCGAACAATGCTATAGGCTTTTTGACGGTTTTGGAAGATGCAATTCACCCGGCCTTCTCTCTCCTGCCGAATCTTGGCAATTTTGTTGTATAAATCGATTAGGCTCATAAGGCATACTGTCTAAAACCTCTTCATACGAAGTTAGTTTGGATCATATGATCCACTATCCTCTTTCGGTTATTTTCTTGAGTATTTTTCAGGGTATACATGTCAGTGAAACAGATCTGTAGATCTGTAGTTTAAGATTTCATTCCTATCGCTAACAACACATTATAAACACTAATCAAGGGGATGCATAAAATCTCCGCTGCATCTGTCAACATTCACGACATAATGTTGATCTGCCTTGTTTACTCTAGTTCCTCTAGGTGTTTCTTCACATCTTCTGAAATGATGTCACCCCTTCTTTAACCACATGTATCGGCTATCCACTCCGGCTTACCCTTAAAAGTCCTCTTATCCACAGTTGAATTCTTCACAGATCTCCCTGTCTCTTTCCGTGAGGATTCTTCCATTTTTCTTTAACCTTCCCTCTAGCTCCTCCTCTCATGGGTCCATCTCTGTAGCTAGTCCTCCCATAAGTACTTCCCTCTAGCTCGTTCTCCCATGGGTACTTCCCTCTATCTAGTCCTCCCATGGGGGTCCATCCATCTATCTAGTCCTCCCATGGGTACTTCCTGACCGAAGTTTCTCTCTCTGCTGTCGTCCCCTCTTGGCGGGTTTAATCCTGCAGCTGGATTATGGAGTCAAACTCTGTGATACAGAGGTCACTGGAGCTAAGATGCTCGTGGTATTTATCCCCCTCAGTATACAATTTTGTGGGGTAAACACCTTGTGTTTTAAGGTTGTATGGTGTTGGGGTTGTGTGGTGGTCGGTTTGTATAGGGTTTGGTGGTGGTGGACCAAGCCCCAGGTCGACGACAGGGCCTCGGGGACTCTAAGCCCCGGAAGCACCTCAAGTTAACCTCAAGGTAAGGTAAGGTTGGGTTGTGTGGTAGTGGGGGGGGGGGGTAGTGATGGTACCTCCGAAGTGTTATGGAGGTTATATCTGTAATATAAAATGTTTTTTGTCCAGGATAGGCCGCCAGACGCTTGGGGCTAGCCTCAGCTAACTAGATCAAGATAACACGGTATGAATTGATCACATACCAGTCAGGGTCGACTCCCCCAGTGCCATCTTTTAAGAATTATTGCCATGTATAGTGACCCCTTGCGTTTTTCAAGAATTTAAAAAAAAGGGATTTGTTTTCCATAAGAGTTTTTAGTTTTGAGAGGTAGGGGGAGGAGTGAGACAGAAAAGGAGGTTGGTGGGGGGGGAGATGAGGGAGAAAAGTGGAGAGGATAGGACGATTACTGACCCATCCAGAGGTCGGGTGGTTGCGGGCTATTCATGAAGTTTACGGGCTAGTCATGCCCGTGCCACCTCTTGATTAAGCCACCTCGCGGCTTAATCATCAATCACGCCGAGGGATCCCAACACGGCTGGACACTACCATTGGCGTCCTCGTTGATCCTGATGTAAATGAAAGGACTGGACTCTAGGACGACGTAACACTATCATACCAAACAGAAGTAACATTGTTGTGGGGTAGGGGCTTGTATTATTTACTATTTGTATTATTCGTGTTTACTATTTGTGCTTGCAGGATTGAGCTCTTGGACCCCGCCTTTCTACCCGTTGTGGTGGGAAGTGTGTTTGGTTGTGTGGGATTGTGTGGTAGAGTGTGGTGGAGGTGAGTGGTGATCAATGAATAGATCAGTACGGTGTTGGCATCTAGTGGATGTGGTTGTTTGGTGTATGCCGGTGTGTGAGGGTAACAGCGGAGGTGCAGTGGTGTGTGTAGAGGTGTGGTGGTGGGTCTCGTGGGTGGGGACCTGGGTGGATGGAGGACCTTGAGGGTGGGGGACGTGGGTGCATGTGGAGTGTTGTAGGTGGGGGCCTGGGTGGTGGTGGTGGTGGGCCTCGTGGGTGGGGACCTGGGTGGATGGAGGACCTTGAGGGTGGGGGACGTGGGTGCATGTGGAGTGTTGTAGGTGGGGGCCTGGGTGGTGGTGGTGGGCCTCGTGGGTGGGGACCTGGGTGGATGGAGGACCTTGAGGGTGGGGGACGTGGGTGCATGTGGAGTGTTGTAGGTGGGGGCCTGGGTGGTGGTGGTGGGCCTCGTGGGTGGGGACCTGGGTGGATGGAGGACCTTGAGGGTGGGGGACGTGGGTGCATGTGGAGTGTTGTAGGTGGGGGCCCTGGGTGGTGGTGGTGGGATCTTGTGGGTGGGGATGTGGGTGGAGGTGTGGTGCTTACCTATCAGTGTCTCTGGAGGAATTGAGGGGAGCTGGTCGGGCGAGCGGACAGCACACTGGACTTGTGATCCTGTGGTCCCGGGGTCAATCCCAGGCGCCGGCGAGAAACAATGGGCAGAGTTTCTTTCACCCTATGCCCCTGTTACCTAGCAGTAAAATAGGTACCTGGGAGTTAGTCAGCTGTCACGGGCTGCTTCCTGGGGGTGGAGGCCTGGTCGAGGACCGGGCCGCGGGGACACTAAAAGCCCCGAAATCATCTCAAGATAACCTCAAGATGAGCTGTACCTGTTTATGCCCTCCCTACTAACATAGTTGTACCTGTGGCATTACAATTTAACTATTCTGATGTTCAATTTTTTCGAATCTCATTAAAGTTGTGGATGGAGGTGGCTTCAACAACTTCTTCTTCGAGTGCAGTCCACGTGTTGACTATTACCCATACAGAGTATGAGTATTTCCTTACATTCCTTCGGCTCACTTGTGTTTCCAGCGTCCACCTGTGTCCTCTTGTCCTACTTTTAGGCTCATGCTCCGTGATGATATGGAAAATTTGTTTACTGAGAATTATATAAAATATATATAAATGTAATAATTTCCCCTGTATTTTAATGTAAATTAATTCTCCAATTTTTGTAAATCGTTTATAGGTAAATAAGTATAACATTCAGGTTTTTTTTTTTAAAGATCTTGTTCTGTACTACTGAAACACTTGTTCACTAAGAATTGTAATGTATAATTGCCTTGTAACACTTATGTATATGTAATTTATATTGTATTTTCTTAAAGATAAAAAAAAGTATCTTGTGGGGCCTTGTGAGTGAGGGAAACACTGATCTGGATAAGGAAGTACCTGAAGTACAGGCAACTAACAGTCATAGTCAGAGAGGAGGTTTCAAGCTGGAGGAATGTAACAAGCGGGGTGCCACAAGGTTTGGTCCTAAGACCGTTGCCGTTCCTAGTTTATGTGAACGACCTACCAAAGGGAGTGAGCTTGTATATGTCAATATTTGCAGATAACACAAGACTGGTGATGAAAATAAAAAGAGAGGAGGACTGTAGTAAGTTACAGGAGGACCTAGACAAACTACAGCAGTAGTCAAACAAACGGTTGCTGGAATTCAATTCCAACGAGTGGAAGGTAATGAAGATGGGAAAGGGAGAGAGAGGAGACCAGAAGGCATCTACACTATAAGGGAAAGGCAACTACTGTAACCAGAGAGTGGGAGAGAGATTTGGGAATGGGTATAGTACCAGCCCTAACACCGAAGGCACACACACACACACTGGATAACATCGACAGCATATGGAATGCTGACAAATATATGAACATCATTTAGAAACTTAAGTCGGGACCCCTTCAAGGCAATCTACACAACATTTCTTAAACCAATACTGGAATGTGCAGCACTTGCATGGAATCTGCACCTTGTGAAGTATAAAACCCCAACTGAAAACGTACAAAAGATTACAACAAGATTAGAACCAGACCTCAGAGGGTTAAGCTACAAGAATAGGGTATTGGAGGTAAATCTTACAACTCTAAGAGGATAGCAGGAACAGAGGGAATATGATCACAACATATACTGAGGGGAAATAGATACGGCGAACAAAGATAGACTCTTCACAAAAGTAGGATACGAGGACACAGGAAGCCGGAAACGCAAATGAGCCGAAACAATATAAGGAAAAGCTGAAAGAAGTCGTGGAAGCCACCTCCAGCCACAGCTTTAAGGCCAGACTCAACTAAGAACGTGAACATTAGAATTGTTCAACAACGTAGACACTTTTAGATGGGTGGAGATGTGGTGGGGGCGTGGGTGGAGGTGTGGTGGTAGTGATGGTGGTGGGGGACTTGTGGGTGAAAGGGGGTGGGGACGTGGGTGGAGGTGATGGTGGTGGGGCCTTGAGAGTGGGGAAGTTGGCTGGAGGTGTGGTGGTGTGTTGTGTGTGGGGGCGTTGGTGGGGTTGCGACACACACTCCCCAACACTGGCAGCGCCACCCACCGTCATCTGAGAGAGAGCCTTGCGCCACCATCGTTGCCACCACCACCACCACATTCTCCACTCTACAATTACCGCCACTACTGCCACAACTGCTGCTACAACAGGTGAACTGGCACCTCTACAACCATCAGCAACACCATTACCACTCACGTCCCCATAATGATGATAGGTAAGTACTACCACTAGCATCACCACCTCTAGCACCATCACCACCATGTCCACCACAATCAACACCACTAGGCCACTGCCACGTACCACCATCACCCCCTCCCCTTCCCTTCAGGTCCATAACCACAATCAACATCAAACCATCACCAGGTCCAGCGAACCAGGTTAGTCCACCACCACCACTCCACCACTACCACCACGTCCTTAACCACCACTAACACCATTTTCACCACCACAAGGTCCACCACCATCATGACCACGAGATCCACCACCACAACACCCACCACCATCAGGTATTCCACCACCATATCTCCACTACCAGGTCTACGACCACCACAAGTCTATTACCACCCCCCATCAAGAGGATATCATCAGCGGCATATTGCTAGGTTTGCCAACTTAAGAACTGCCTTTAGAAACTCATATATCAGACCAAACTGGTACCCGAGTTGAGGGGTATGAGCTACAAGAAGAGACTACGAGAACTAAACCTCATGCTCTGGAAGAAAGAAGTTAGAATGAGACAGGATCACCACATACAAGATTCTCAGAGAAATTAATAGGGTAGATAAAGGCAGTTCATTCAACACAAGGGGTACACGAAACTGTATTTCGGTACAGTTTCCACACAGGTGGAGACTGAGTACCCAAATGAGCCACAGGGACGTTAGAAAAAACTTTTTCAGCGTCAGAGTAGTTAACAGGTGGAATGCATTAGGCAGTGATGTGGTGGAGGTTGACTCCATACACAGTTTCAAATGTAGATATGATAGAGCCCAGTAGGCTCAGTCCACCACCATCAGGTCCCCTACCACCAGGTCTACCACCATCAGGTCTTCCACCACCATCAAGTCCTCTACCACCACGAAATCCACTAACAATAGCACCATCACCCCCCTCATCAACCATCTTCCAGCCTAGGTACATCACTACCACTACCCCCCCTTTTCCCTGCCCCAACACCATGCCCACCTTTATCAGCACTATAGGTACCAGAGTCACTGAGAGGTAAACATCCCCTCCCCCCCTCAAGTTCACCTCTACTGCTACTGAGCTAGACTTGCCATTTACCAACACTATCACTGGGAGTGTATATGCAAATGTGTATAATATCAATATCAGGAGCAGGGAATGCCACAATAACATGCTTGAAAATAAATAACCCAACCCACACATATGGAAATGAAAGTGATGATGTTCCCCCTCTATTCAATCAATAAATAAAGTTATTTATTGATTTACATAGGCCCGAAACGCTATATGCGTGTTAGTGGCTCTGCAAGAATGTAAAAAACCAATCCATTGTAAATAAAATAATATTATTATTAGTAGTATTATATAATCCCTTGTTTAAAGCCCATCTTATGCCTAAGAAGCTATGTTATTGCATGCATGCAGGACATTTACAGAGATTACAAGTATCAAAAGACATTTCCTTCCCCCCTTGGCCTGTTCGTGAGCAAGTAGGAGGATCTTGATGACAGATCTCACTGCTGGAGGGTGACGTAAGAATCACACTTCGTGTCATAACAGTGCCACCCAGACTGACCTACCAGCATCACTTGATCTGGTGTCTGTCTACCAGAAATGTTACTGTGGGTACATAAAGAAGACATTCCAGGCGTGATGATTACAGGAGGGTTAAGGGTCTACCTTTAAAAAAATGTAACGGGTTAGAAGTCACCAAGAGGTGTGTACCTGAGCACTCACCAAGAGGAGTGTACCTGAGCACTCACCAAGAGGAGTGTACCTGAGCACTCACCAAGAGGAGTGTTCCTGAGCACTCACCAAGAGGAGTGTACCTGAGCACTCACCAAGAGGAGTGTAAGGAATGACAACAAATGATACGGTGGAATTCACAGGACAGAAATGTGCAGATCCCCGGAGCAGTTCAATGTTGTAAATTGATGTAAATATAATCTTTATATTGCATATTATTTAATAAAGAAAAAGACACCAAAATTATACTAAAAGAAAAAAAGTAGACGAGAAAACAAAGCAAACCCATGCTTCAATAGAGAGAAAGAAGGAACTAAAACAGCATGGACAGAGCACAGAAGACAAAATAGAGGCACTAAAAGGAGCCGAAAATAAATACATATTTAAAACAACATAGCAGCAAAAGCTAAGGACCAACCAAAGCTATCGTGCAGCCAAGTAAGGAGACAACGAATATTAACAAATCATGTGATCAGGCTGAGGAGACAAGAAGGTATTAATATAGTCTACAAACCCATCTACAAAAAGAGAACCCAAGTAAAGAGTGTGGGAAGTGATAGTCGGTCATAAACTACTTTAGGAGACCCGGGAATCACGGACGAGGTAAGACCAAAACTCAAAAACTCACCTGGAGGAACTAGATACATCAAAATTAGTAGGGCGAGACCTGGTGTCACTGCGGCCTGGTGGCAGGGGTCATTTGTAACTTGCTAAACTAAGATTTTCAACAGAACGTCATTCGTGATCTGGGGTTAGATTCACGAAGTAGTTATGAACCTGTACGAACCTGTACATCTTTTCTCAGTCTTTGGCGGCTTTGTTTACAATTATTAAACAGTTAATGAGCTCCGAAGCACCAGGAGGCTGTTTTATAACAATAACAACAGTTGATTGGCAAGTTTTCATGCTTGTAAACTGTTTAACAAATGTAACCAAAGATGTCAAAGATTGAGGAAAGATGTACACGTTCGTAAGTACTTGCGTAACTGCTTCGTGAATCTGGCCCCTGAGGTCTACCAGAAGACTGGAAAAGGGCAGAAAAAAAGGCAGATTTAGACCCAATATTAAAAGAAAATGGTGATAGCTAGGTGGCACTAAATTATAAAGTATAAATGACATGTATTACAGGCCAAATAATGTATTGCACGTGGTATTCCTTGCAAAATAATGGAGACAGTAATCAGGATAAGATGAAGCACCAAAACAGGACCAACTGTAAATAGAGTTGGGCTTACTGACGTCCCCTTGGGCCTGACCCTTCCCAGGACGTAGCCCAGATTCCCATTACAATTATATTGCCAAGAAAAAACTGAGTTCTGTGCTACTTACAGAAGCACAAAATGGCCTCACAGATCAGTCTGCTACCTCGAAGAACTTCACCTGCTTGAGCAAGCTCGTGAGCTCCTGCCTGTAGAGAGGTTACCTCCCTGGGAGGATGACCCATACAGGATTGTCATCAATGACATGACAACGAAAAAGTCCAACATGATACTTAGATAAAATCTACACTGATGGGTCATCTAATCCTGTCACTGGCAGGGCTGGTGCAGCATTCACTGTAATTAGGAATAATGCCTTTGAACGCGGAAATGAAGAAAAACCATGTATTGAGAACTATGCCTCTTCAAGGCAAGAGA